GCTGGCACTACCGCCCTCTCCATGTGGCCCAACCGGAAACTCAATAATGCCCACTGGCAAGACCACCGCGTGCAGCCAGCCCCCACCAACACCCACAATACCACGCCTCCCTTCCTTTTTCATCCCGAAGACATGGCAACAAACTTCCATTCTCAGTCTTCCTCCGGCCTTCCTTCTCGCCGAATCAGTCACGAGTCACGACGGACAATCAAGTGAGTCACCCTCCATCCAATCCTCCTTACTCACCCCCTGCTCACCTTGTCATTGGGCGCTGCTAGCAAGGTTGATGTTATTGTTATAGATCGAACTCTCAGACATAGAGTCCAACGTCGTGACGAACCTCGGCGGAAATGGCCAGGGCCCTCCGGACCCAAAAGTGGGCGGAGTGGCTGCTACGCAAAGCGGAGCAAAGACTGGCAAGTACAGCGATGTTAACGACACGAAATAGTCTAAGAGGGATCTCGACGGCCGCAATGACCTGCAACAAGAGAAGAGGAAGACGTTCCGATCGATGTGAAAAACTGAGAGATTGGCCAACCCCAAAGTTCAGAAGTGCGGTCAGGGCATTTCTGACAGTCTTGGGCCGCTACGAAGTTCGATATCTAATCCTGGGGAGGTGCAACGACCATTGGCGAGATTGAATGGTTTCGCTGCGTGGAATTGGAGCCAGTCAAAAGCTCTGGCCTCCGCTCTTTTGAGGAGTTGGCATGAGGATTTGTAGGAATTTTTATCCCTTACACTGGGTATTGTTGCTGTTGCGTGGGATCGTATCCCAGTCAAATCCCGAAAAGGCGGTGGATTTTCAGCTGTCTTTAGGTATTCTGTTCGTCGCTATGGTTATTGTCTGGTTTACATAATATCTTTGAAAGGTGCTTGCTATAAAAAGGCCAAACAGGGTAACGATGGAGATGGATAACTTTTATCGCGATCAAAACGGGTTTCCCATTGTAACTACCCCACTGTAACTGCCCCATTCGTACCTAACTATCCCATTCGTACCAAGCATCGAGGCGACAGTGATTTTCGGCACAATGAACGCCGGTAAGACCTTATAACTGCTTCAGGTCCTATTCTAAAGAGCACAGTACAAAATCTAACCATAACGAACATGGCGTATAAGAGAAGGATTCTGATGGAATAGCTGGGCTAATTCCTGGCTGTCAGCTGATTCTGATGACCCAGCTCGTCTATTCTCCATCTCTTTACTATTCTTGTTGTGTCCTCACCCCTCTCTCCCATGTCCATCCAGCCTCGGATTAAAGTAAAAGAGGTGTGACGACGGGGCGCGATCCTTGAAGGCTGAATGATAATAATCCCGATATACGGCACCTGGTGCCTCTGTCCGCAGCGGCGTATCGTTGAGGTCGGCGAGGGACTTCCACCATTCATTATCAACGCGTTCGCCATCCCCTGGTTGCTTCCAGGTGCTGAAGACAAAATATCTCTCAATTTCCACCCTTGACTTGGTGACCACCTTCACGGCCACAGCAAAGTCAGTGCATCATCTGGGACAGCTTCGGACGGCGCCTCATGGGATGCACCCTGAACACTGGTACCCTCGCTTATGCAGTAGACCACATTGGAGACGCTTGTCGATTCTGGGAGGGTCTGTATCGAGTTGCACAGCCAGAGTCTCATGATGACGGAGTGCTCCAGGCGCAAGTGTGAGCGATGCCAGCTCGTTCAGACACATGTTTTGGTCACTAAGGCAGTTGGTGAAGTTGAGCATGTTGGGGACGAGAAACAGATACTCTTGCTCCCATGTGCAATGTTCGCAGATGGCCTCAGATTGTATGACAAGCTGACTAATATCGTACAATGATTGATCGGTGCCTCAGCCTCACGGGCCGGTTATAGCCCGAACACCTCTTGCTTTCTCATCATCAGTGAGTATTTTTTGGTGGGCGAGACAAGGAAGTCAGTGCTTGACCATGACTTCAAAGTAACATCAAATTGCCTTTTGAGTGCGGCCGACATCTCTGGGAACAAGTTCTGTCTCGTAGTCATACTGTTCTTTGCAGAATTCTTCAACGACAATGCGCAAATGTCCATATAGGGGATTCGGCGGACCGGTGACTTCACAGGCTTCTGATGAACTAGACGGGAGAGAGTTGATCATGGGTTCGTGTGGCTTTTTGCAGTAGTAGCAGTCCTCGTGTTGATCGTACACCTTCCATCTTATTTGCTTGAATATTTGAGTCTGATCCACTGTGTGGGCCGGATACATGTAGATCAGCTGTCGATGGGTTGCACGTGTCATATTGTGAAGTAGAATGTCGACCAAGACTCCATTCTCCGCTGGCAACCGAGCATGGTGTCTCTCGAGAGTAACTAGGTAGCACATCTCCAGAGTACCCAGGTAGCGCGTCTGTTTTTCTGTTTGTGCTATCTTTAATGGCTTTTTTAGGTTTCATGAAGCCCATGTGAAAAGGGGCTCAGGGGCAGCTGTTGTCACCATATCAGCCCCACTCTCCAACCAGGTAGCGCCCCACTCAAACCAAAGTGGAGTTCACAGCGACATGGGTTAAAGATCACGTGTTGGTCCACCCAGACTGAGTCAAAGATCCAATCCAAGGCAGAAGCTTTCCTCTTTCCCAACGCGCATCCCAACCAACCAACCCACCAGACCTTGAGCAGCGATTCCAACCGACAAAGCAGAGATCAACAATCTTCTGACTAATCATCAGTTTACATCCGCTATAGTGTAACGGTCAACATATCGCGCTTTCACCGCGAAGCCCCGGGTTCGATTCCCGGTAGCGGAACTCGTTTTTTGCCTGTTGATCCGTCTGTTTTATGCTGGCTGTTTTCGTTACTGTGTCTGCTTCCTCTCTCCTCGGATCATGCATATTTTTTCTTCCTTTTTTTGTTCTCACTCTTGAAGTAGCAAATCATTGTTTCTATTTACTTGCACACTCGCATGAGGTCCAACTATTTACAATCCTTCCTCCATCCATCCATGCACTCTCTCTGTCTTCCTCCCCGTACAATTGATTTCTTTCTCTCAAGCTCGCACCGACTCTGACCTACCAACTATCCAGACCTATCTAACTGCTCACAGTCTGCGCACCCAGCGACTGCTTGACATAGTCGAGCAGCAGCGGGCCGACACGCGACGCAATGATGCGGTCGCCCGAGATGGACGGGTGCACACCGTCGCGCAGGTCCGACGTCTTGAAACCCTGGTAGCAGTCGGCGATGACGATGGGCGACTCGGTCGTGTTGAGGCCCTTGGCCCAGGCGGGGATCTGCGCATTCAGCGACGTGATGCCCGAGCTGGAGCCCGCCGAGAGGGGGATGACCAGATCAACCTATGTCACCCAGCATCGATTAGCTACAACTCTTCCCTTTCCGACGTGCACGACCAATCATATTGGAAAGGGCTTGGTTGGTGAAACATACAATAATCTTGACCTTGGGGTTCGCCGTGCGCATAATGTTGACCATCTTGGTGTAGGCAGCCATGATGTCGGTGGTGCTGCGGCCGCGGAAGACGTCGTTGGTGCCGAGCATGAACATGACGATGTCGGCGGGCGTCTTTTGCAGCCAGTTGGTCAGGTAGCTGTTTGCAATGTCGATGGCCAGCCAGCCTGAGTGGCCCTCGTGGTGCTGGTCCCAGTTGGCGGTTGTGGGTTTGCAGTTCTGCGGGTTGCTGTTCTGCGAGCCCACGTACTGCACCTTGTCGGCCAGCTTGGCATCGGCCAGCTGGTCCCAGACGAAGGCACGCCAGCAGGTGATTTCGGTGATGCTGTCGCCGAGAGGCACTGGGGTTCTGGTCAGTCTTCTTCTACTCTAGATTGGTTGCTTCTTGTTCGCTACAGCCCGGGGTGGGTTACATACTGATTCGCAGCTTCTGCGTCTGGCGCTCGGCGATTTCTACCGGGCTGGCGGTGGCCATGCCAGCCAGGGCGCAGGCTGCGAGGAGGAGGTTTGAGGCATACATGATCACGGGTATCTTTTGCTCGTAGACCTTGAAGGATGGATGTCTTGGGCGGTGCAGGATGAAGAGCGTGAGTTCAGTTGTTCAAACTGATGCAGTGCCTTCTTATCACTATTTATCTTTTTCCGCTTCAATTCTTGCCGCCAAAGTGTAATTTGTCTATGAATACGAATGCGAGGCCTCACGTCCTTCATGTCTTGATACCGGGAAGATTCCCCATCTTAGGTCCACTTACATCTACCATAGCCCGTTTTATCCAGCCGGTGCGCATCCCGCACCGTCGAGGTCCAGCGCCACCATCCAATGCGGTTGGCAAGAAAGCCTTGCAAAGTCTCACGATCGCACAACATGGTGAACAAATAGATGAGGCTCTAATAACCATGTCGCGGACAAGGACCGAGTCTCGGGTCGGAGGATATCGCCCTATAGTGTTATGACCACGTAGAATGCATTTTGACAGCTCTTTTGGATGTGTGGACTTTTTACACTTGCTCGGCGGTGTTTGATCTCGGTACGAAAGCGGGAAAAGTGCTTTATATCCGGGTGATGGATATATAGCAGGTCGGGTTCAGGGAGGACCTTAATGTGTTGGTTAATTTACCCCAAGTTTGGGTTTTGGATTCGGGTCGTACACACGCTTTCTGTTCTCCGACAAGGACCGTTGAGGAGGAGAGAACATGCGGGGAACGTAGCATTGGGAAATGAAGATGCAGTGAAAATGCAAAGACATCCCGCGACCCTATTTAATGAAAATTGGGTTCGCTTGCAAGAAGTGCCAAATTAACTGTACATGGCGATCTTGGGCTCGCTTATGTAGAAGATGGGGGAAAAGGAAGTTGATCGGGCAGCAGGAGAATGCACGAATGGGGCAATTAACCCACGAATCCAAGGAAGTGCAACCCACCATGATGCCCCTTTGCGACAAACGGGCTCGGGAATGAGGATGCACTAGTTACCTAACCTAAGCAGCAAGTAGGGATGGATCATTACTTTGAGTGGGAATAAGGAAAAGAGTATATCAATACCATTATCTGTAAATAGATACGAAATAGCAAAAATATGACAACTGTGAGATTCGAACTCACGCCTCTTGCGAGAACGCAATGCAGCTCCTTGGAGGAGTAAGGGAGATTCCTTGAGTGCGTCGCCTTAGACCACTCGGCCAAGTTGCCTTTGATGGAGAACATTGTGTCGGAACTTTGTTACAAGGCCCGCTAGCCGGATTGCCCCCAGTTATGTGGGCTAGATCCTGGAAATCAGCCAATGAAAACGCAGTAACAACTGAATTTGGTATTTTCACCAATAATGTGGTGTAAAGACGTGAGAGCGCACGAGCTGATCAACAACCAGAATTGACACCGAATATCCAGTTTTTTTCCCCAATAGATAAATCTCATCATTATCCAATTTTGCTCATAGATATTGCTTTTTTTCTGGTCATATCTACGAGTCTCTTTCTGCATACACATTATCCACGACTGTGCACTTTGCGTCTTACACTTCAGTGCAACTCCACAAGACCTAAATATGTCTGAATCACTGGAATAGGCAGTAGAACTACTGGGTTTACCTATCGCTAAACCGATCTATCACCGTCTGACTCGCAATTCCCATGTACAGAGCATGAGGAAATTCTGCATTTCCTTTGCCCTTTATCCTCATCTCTGTCCTTTTTCTCTTCATTTTTAACATCGTCTTTACATTCGTCTTGCGCTTCGTCTCCCACCTCCTCCCCTTTATTTATTGCTATTAGTAGGTGTGAATAAGGTGTGGCGATTTTGTGGATGCTTACCTGTGGCACTCTTTCCTTTGCTCCGCAGTGCGAGACATAAACAACACGACGTCGAAGTCCTGCGTGAACAGAAAGAACTCGAACTTTTCGGTGTGAGGGAGGAAGGGCAGCCTTTGGACGGGTAGCGGGAGGCAAGCGGCTGGAGAAAAGATAGACTGATCTGTCATCCTTATAGCGCATTACACCGCCTGGTGGAGAAGTCGAATTAGTGCAGCTGAAGAGTGAGGTGAGAAAATCGTGCATTCTTTTCTTAGACTTAGGCTTTGGCTTATTTGTCGTGGTGTTGGCTGTGGTAATATTTTGATGGAGATCGGATAAGTCTATATCGTCCCCCTCGCTGCTTTCATCTTGCTGAGGAGAAGATTGAGAGCTATGGTGATCTTTCTCTATTCAATCACGCGGTTTCCAGGACGGTTGATGCTTTTATGGGCACTCTGACGAACAGTGATTACCCTTATAACGTTCCGTTATGAGACTGACTTACTGTGTTTGGTGTGATGACTCGTGATGTGAGGTTTACTGTTCATAGTCAGAAAGAGATTGTGGAGGGCAACTCAAGTACCTATTTATAATCGACTTGGTGCTTGCGGATGATATGTCATGACAGCGCAATTGTGGTGTTGTCATTTCGTTTGGTACGTGTGAGTTAGTATGACTTTTAAGAGCAAAGAGTATCAAACTATCGCAAACATGATGAAACTCGCAAGAAGTTACATATGAAGAAAATGCATAGTTATCTGTTAACGTTTTAGGGAGAAAGTCTCGATGTACTGTACAAAAGGGGACCTGCAGCGTCGTAACATCTGAAACGGTGGCCCAATGTATCATTCCACACCACGACTGCAAGTTTCTGGGCTTAAACCGCCGCTGGACAGGATAGTGGTAAGTGGATAGTTGTAAATGGGGTAATTGTAAATAGGATAGTAATGTCAACGCTAATTAGTGATTTCTAAACCAGCAACTTGATTTAGGATGTGAAAGCATATATGTGTTGAGCTGTAAAACCTCACTTCTAGATAGTAGGAAGCATCAGACACCTCGGTCTACGTATGGCAGAGCTTGAAATCGGGGCCCCTAACATCTTTGGTGTGCTTCTCTATATGATACTTACTTGCTAGGTAGACTAAGAACACAAAGAGAGTTCTCTGTCAACTCTACACCATCTAGCAATCAACTTAGTAGACACCCACCAGTAGTATCCCGGCCGCCAAACTCCAGCCCTCCCTGTAACCAGAACCTCTACGGCTCTCTAGCAATTCTCCACGTTTGTGGAAACCCAAGCACAGAGACAAACACCTGCCCATTTCATAACCTTCTTATCCAGCAACACATAATGCTAAAAATCGCCCATCCCGCCGTGAGATAGGAGAACGACAGGTCTAGCACTTTTGCATGGTTGCATCCCCCGGTCCCCACTGGAGCGGATTGCAACCAGGAAGCGCCTTGAGCTCTCCAAACATGGGCTCGTCGATCTGGCTCTTCAAACCAGGGCATTCGTTTTGCACCTCGGCAGTCTGCATGAAGGGCTTGAAGGTGTTGCATTTCTCGAGCACGCCGCCCGACTTTCCCTTAGTCCCACAGCTGGGGTCGGCGATGGCTCTTTGCAGAAGGTCGACGTCCCATCCGTTGAGGAAGTCGGCGTGGTAGCCATAGCCGGTGGGATCACTTGTGGTGGTGGGTTAGTCCAGGTTCTCGGAGGGTTGGATGTGGAGGGGGCAAGGGATGAGGCCAGAAAGGACTTGTCAGAAGTGTTTCCCTGAAACCACAAATATTTGACAACAAAGAGCAACAGATGAACAAACTCACCCCTGCGACAAAACAAACGGCTGATCCCCCTGCTTCCGCAAGTTATTAAATGCCTTGGCATCCCACGTCACCTCATACAGCAGCGCCGGCAGCGACTCCGGGTGCGTCTTCGGACACGGCCCATTGTCCAAGCGCTCCGGATACGCCACGTGCGATTTATGGTCCGGGGAGTCCACGTTGACGCCGTCCCAACAGCTCGGGAAGCGGATGCGGATCTGCAGCCCATTGTCACACGTGCGGTTTGGAAACCCATGGAACGGAGGCAAGCCCTCGGTCGGTGGGGGCAGCAGACAGATGAACTCGATGGCGCGCTGCTCGTTTGTGTCTTCGAAGCTGCGCTTGGCCTGATTGCCGGCGATCATGCGAAAGCCCTTGGGGAAGGCACGAAGTTTCTTGCCGGCGCAGTAGGCCTCCCAGTCCATGCGCTCTCTGGTAGGGGGGGAGTGCTGTTAGTGCGATAGGCCAGGGGGTTTATGAGGAGTTATAGATGGAAATAAGACAAACTGACTGGTAGTAAACATTGACTCCTCCAACCTGCTTGACGCTGAGGAAGCTTCCGTTCTCGGCACGGAAGTACACGGTCGGCACCCAGTAGTTAGACAGGTCCTTGGTAACAGCACAAGTGGTGCACGACGATGTCTGCGTCTTGTCGTAGTCAAGAGTGAAGTTGAAGGCGTCGCCACCCATGATGGTGTGCAGGTGCCGTGAGCCGCGGACGCCGGGCTCGACGATGGGGTCGGCGCGCTCGTAGAGGACGGGCTTGCCGCAGCCCATGACGACGAAGAACGCATTGTCGGGGTTGCCGCAGTCTTGTCGGGCCGCAATATCAGTAGTCGGCACAGCATTCACTACTGCAAGTAAGATCGACGCCAAGACGGCGACGAAGTTGGAGATGGGACCCATCGCAGATGGGTGAAGGAAGAATATCAGGGAATGACAAGGTTGAGGAATGACAAGGTTGAGATTGGTGTTCGGTGTCGTGGTGTCGAGGTTCAAAGCCAGGCTGCTTGTAGGGAAGGTGTCGAGGGCATGGTCAGTCGAATTTAGGACAGTCTCCAGTTTAAATGTGTCGAGAGGGAAGCTGCAGGGGAGATAATGGAGCAGGACAGCGACTGTCCCGAGTGTCAGAAGCCATCTCGACTTCACTGACTGATCGTTTGCGGGCCTAAATGTGTCAGGTGGGTATGCGCGTTCCGAGGCACGCTCACGCGTCACAACCAGTCTCATCTCAGCTCCGAAGCCTCAGTCCGATCGATGGTTGACTAGTCTCCGGTAGCTCAGGTATCTTGTGCGACTGGGGCCATACTGTCGGACGTAAAGCCACATTGTTGCGCATGGGGAACGTAGGAGACAGTCTCGGATGTAGTAGCAGAACGGGAAGGTCACCAGGAACTGGAACAAAAGGTTGGTTGAGAACAATTAAAATTGTATACTACTTAATCAAGAAATGTCAACCTCATTATGGACCTCGACTTCCATAGCACACTGCCAACGAAAGCCGTGGTGAGTAATGGGACGTAATTCTTTCTTCCTGGCATTATATGATGAAGATCGTGTGGGAAGAAGATCAACTCATTAAGTGAACGGCCAGGGTCTGTGATGTAAATGGGGAAAAGAAATGAAGAGGTGAAAACTAGAGGAGGGATGAGTGTGGCGGTCCTGTCCAAAGCGCCCTCGACAGCTCGCGAAAGCTGTCTCCTTGTCACAGCCTCACGTGTGTCATGTCGAGGAGGAAACTGATTGATTATTAAGATTTGAGATGCAAGCCGTATAACGCCGTCCCATGTGGTGGTCGGATGGTGCTGTCCGTCGCATCGAGCGAGCCACGCCCTTGTCCCATCAATATCATACAGCGCTCGCATAATAATACAGACGCGTCCACCACGACCACAGGCATTGTTGCAGGCCTTTCGGTTCGGGTTCGCGTGGTACGGTCGAAGAAGAATTAAGCTCTGTGACCGACAGTCAGAGGCCGATTCCGTGGCAGGAACGAGGCGCGTGCCAGGCGACTCACACTACAAGAAAGGTCTCGGCCAAAGAGCTCGAGAGGAATGTGGCGACGACCTGGTTGGAGAGTTAGCGGGCTGAGGATGCGAAAGATGGAAGATAGACAGAGCAAGATGGGAGCTACTCACGCCGAAGATGGCAACGCTCCGCACGACCGAAGCGTTATCGGGCGAGGTCAGGGTGTCGTACGTCGACCTGACGAAGCCCTTTCCCGCCCGGCCACGCCCGCCGGCAATCTGGTTGCGCTGAGGAGCCATTGTGTTGAGTATTGTGTTTGGGTTGAGTTTGCGAATTGGGTGCAGAGAAGAAATAGTCGGCGGAATTCCAGGATGCAGGATGCAGTTTTTTCCGCTGGAGCAAATTCACGTGCCGTTCGCGCTAAGTCGGCCGAAGAAGTGGGTCGGCGTGGAAGCTACCTAGTTACGTCAGGAGAGCGCAGGTCGGGTGACGGGGCTCTTCTTGACTTTGCTGCGTGCGCGACGTGCCGTCACCCCACCACGCAGGACCCCGCCACCGCCCAAGTTACAGCGCTCTCTCCCGATGTTTCTTTGGCGGGAAACCTCTGTG